GGGGGGTACCATATATATATATACACGTGTATGCATACCGCAAGATTCTGTGTTGCAGGAGTGCCGGCCTCTTACCATTTCTGGAGACAGCTATCCTTGGCTGTGCCAATACGGACCGCCTACTCTAACTCCTATATGCTTGCTTTTTGGCTAGCTCTTGAGGTGGACATTGTCCGGCTGTTGGATGGCACCCGCCGGTAGTGGCAGTGGTTGCAGTGCGAATTGCGGCATTTTGGAAGCGGAGGCAACAGTTGCTCTGGTAGTAGATCATGTCAGTCGCCGTCATGATGTGGGCTTCCTTCAACAGTCTTTGCACTTATGGTAAGCTGCAGTTGAAAGTATTTTGTGCATGCATGTTTCGATTGAGGGCATGACGGAGCAAGTCTTTGACCAATGCCTGGCCAATGGTAATGCCCCCTACGTCGACAGATCTCACGGACCTTCCTGGAGGATTGTTTGTTACAGCTCTGCAAGCAAGCAGAAGCTTTCCGGATTCGTCCATGGGCACCAGACCCCAGATGTAAACTTTGTCCGTGAGATTGTGCTCTCCCTGCTCCGGCCTCAGCCGAAAGCAACTCCTGCAGCACAGCTCCAACTCCTGAAGCCCTGAAGCATACAGCTTCATGGGGGTGTGCTGACTTTGGAAGACCCACCCCCTCACCTAACACAGCCAACTACAACCAAAGCCCAGAACCAGAAATTCTGACAGGGGGCCATAGAACATGGCCAGTGCCAGAGCGGGATAGACAAAGATCGCAAGGTCAAGCCCGAAATCTAATGCCCAGATGCCTGCGCCCGGCGTTAGGTGTCTTCCTTTAGCCGGAGCTGGGAACGTGATTTTTGCATGCACGTAATTCAACCTCCGTCTGTCGCGGGTGCATCCGCCAGGCTTAATGCGAACGTCCCCGACCGCTAGAGTGGTGCGATGTTCCGCTTAATTCATAATCGATTCTACGCATATTGTCTTTGGCAGAAAACTCCCAAACACGGAACCCTTTGCACGAGATCAGCCTTGGAGCAGCCACGTCCCGGCCCTATGTCGAGTCAACATTTCGAAAGATCCAGGCAATGAATGAAGATTGCGGTGACGGGAAAATACTTCCGAATCTTTGCAAGCACGTCTCTGACTCGGAGGCGAATAAAGGTCGGCCCACGGAAGAAAGGAGCCGAAGCTGTTGTGGTTAAGGCTGCGTGTTGACTGTAGCTAGGGATGGAAAGGGCTGTGCTGTATGCTTCCAGTTGTCAGTTTGCGCTTGGTTGTATAGCCCGCGAGTAGCAGACGTGGAGCATTCGGTATACATCCGGACCAGGGACTGCAATGAAGCGGACTTGTCAGAGTTCTGTGACTTCGACACACTTCAACAACTTGTACGCAGCCCGTTCATAGAGTTATGGCTTGGTGTGAGGAAGTACGGTTGCCCTCTGCCCAGGAACCTTCCCGGCAACAGGAGGGTCAAACAAGCAGGTGGCATCAATCAGGGGTGGTATCGGTCTATGCTATCGGTGGCAGAAGGAACAGCTGTGCAAAGAGATCCTGATGGATCCGGCCCTTGTCGTCGGCTCCACAAAGGCCACGGCATCCTTTGGAGGGCTTTGGGCAAAGAGCACGGTGTAGGACCACAGTGAC